TTGTATTTTAGTAGAGATTGGGTTTCACCCTGTTGGTCAGGCTGGTCTCGAACTACTAACCTCAAGCAATCCATCCGTCTCAGCTTCCCAAACTGCTGAGGTAACAGGCGTGAGCCACTGCACCCCACTCCTTTTTTTCAAACACAAAGTTGAACCAGATATCAAGTATATATTTTTTTTATTTTTATGTTTTTTTATTGCATTTTAGATTTTGGGGTACATGTGAAGAACATGCAAGATTGTTGCGTAGGAACACACATGGCAGTGTGATTTGCTGCCTTCCTCCCCTTCACCTATATCTGGCATTTCTCCCCATGCTATCTCTCCCCAACTCCCCACCCTCCGCTGTCCCTCCCCTATTTCCCCCAACAGACCCCAGTGTGTAGTGCTCCCCTCCCTGTGTCCATGTGTTCTCATTGTGCAACATCCGCCTATCAGTGAGAACATGTGGTGTTTGATTTTCTGCTCATCAAGTATATTTTTTAAGATACACTCTTTATTGTAAAAGTAATGCCTGCTAGTTCCTCATCTTCCTTTCCTTCCCATACTCCATTTCCTCTTCTCTGCTTGCTGTTTTCTTAGGTATAGTTTTAGGCACTGCCTTTGTGCATACAACATGCATTTGTGCCATGTTTTTACATGACTACCTTTATGCTAAAAGATAACACAGCTTAGATTACAGTCTACAATCTATTCTATGACTTGAAGTTTTCACTTAACAGTGTGTGTCAGACATATTTTCATATTAACTTCATTTTTTTTTTTTTTTTTTTGACAGAGACTCACTCTGTCACACAGGCTGGAGTGCAGTGGCACAATCTCGGCTCACTGCAACCTCTGCCTCCTGGATTCAAGCGATTCTCCTGCCTCAGCCTCCCCAGTAGCCACTGCACCTGACTAATTTTGTATTTTTAGTAGAGACAGGGTTTCGCCATGTTGGCCAGGCTGGTCTTGAACTCCTGACCTCAGGTGATGCACCTGCCTCGGTCTCCCAAAGTGCTGGGATTACAGGCATGAGCCATGGCACCAGGCAATATTGGCCTTATTCTTTTGACCAGTTGCTAAAGTCTCTTGTGAATGAATGTATCTTTTTTTTCTATCAATTAGTGTACATTTGTCTTTGCTTACTAATGCAAATATTCTCGGTAAATAAACTATTCACAGTGAAAATGCTGAGTCAACAGATGCTTATTTAAAGTTTTGATAGAAATTCTTTTTTTTTTTTTAAAAGAATCACATGAAAGGCCATACATTTCCTAATTTTTCATTTTATTAGTCTGTTACATGGGGGCTTACAGTCAACTTTAGGGCCGGGCACAGTGGCTCACGCCTGTAATCCAAGCACTTTGGAGGCCAAGGCAGGCGGATCACCTGAGGTTGGGAGTTCAAGACCAGCCTGACCAACACGGTGAAACCCCATCTTTAAAAAAAAAGTCGATTTTAAAAGAAATGGATGTGAAGTGACTTCATTGGTCGAAAAGAAAAGAAAAAGAAATGAGAAAATCCCAAGTCTCTTAAAAATCGTCTTCTTTCTGCCAGGCATGGTGGCTCACACCTGGAATCCCAGCACTTTGGAAGGCTGAGGCAGGTGGATCATTTGAGGTCAGGAGTTCGAGACCAGCCTGGCCAACATGGTGAAACCCTGTCTCTACTAAAAATACAAAATTAGCCAGGTGTGGTGGCTACTGGGGAGGCTGAGGCAGGAGAATCGCTTGAACCCAGGAGCCAGAGGTTGCAGTGAGCTGAGATAGTGTCACTGCACTCCAGCCTGGGCAACAAGTAAGACTCTGTCTCAAAAAAAAAAAAAAAAAAAGAAGTCTTCTTTCCAATAGCCTTTCACTAACACATGAGTAACAACAAAAAATTAAATTAGCTGTTTGAGAATTAATGATTCATATAAACTCAGCACCAGTAGATCTTTCTCCGAAAAGTTAAACTATTTCTCCCCTTTTTATCCCTTTTTAGGTCTTGCTTAAGTTATTCCTTAACAATGATGGAATAACTTGGACACAATGATCAAGATAGCTAGGAACAATGATCAAGAATCTCTTTTTGACAAGATGCTTTTGCTGCAAGGACTCTTAAATAAGTTTACCAGAGTGCTATATATGGAAGGTTATATTTAACTCCTCAGGAAAAAAAAATCCTGCATAAAAATATTTTTAAAATAATAATTAGTCATGAGCCCTAAAAGAATAATTGTTTAGTAATACTTCTCCTGCAAAAGCAGAAATCAGATTAAATATGATTCACTGAGACCAAGTACATTGTTTCCCTATCTTGTGTTCATGCTACCTGTGATTTATGATGTATATTTAGATTGGGGATGCCACAGAAAATACATGAATCTACGGTATATAGTGATATCTTAGTTCAAAGCGAATCCACAAATTACACAGAGACTATGGTTAAGCTCCAAATTATTTGGACAATAATTATAAATGATCTCATTGGTCTAGAAATCTGAAATGGTTTATAACTTATTAAATTATTGAAAACTGAATAATTTAAAAGTAAATCCTTAATGAAATTATTCCTTGGACATACACTTTAATAATGCCATTAAAACATGAATATTTTAATTTTTTTTTTGAGATGGGGTCTCAGTCTCCCAGGCTGATTATGGTGCACTATAGCCTTACACTCCTGAGCTCAGGTGATTCTCCTGATTTAGACTCTCTGGTAGCTGGGACTACAGGTGTGCACCGCAGTACCTGGCCAAATATTTTAATTTTTAACTGCAAATCTATTTGCAGTTAAATATAGCTTTTATTATGCTTGGGAACCAAGCCGAGAATAAATAAAAAATAAGATAATGAGAAACTTTATGTGGTAGGCTTAATAATGCCCTCCTGCCCCAAAGATGTTCATGTTCTACAAACCTGAAACTTGTGAATGTGTTACCTTAACTGGCAAAAGGGATTTCAAAGATGTGATGAAATTAAGTATCTTGAGATGAGAAGATTATCGTGGATTATCTCTGTAGTCTGAATGTAGAGGTCCTTATAAAAGAGAGGCAGCAGAATCAGAGGAAGAGAAGGAGATGTGATAACAGAAGCAGGAGTCAGAATCTGGGATCCGAAAGGTCAAAGCTGTTGGCTTCGAAGATGGAGAAGGAGACCACCATAGCCAAGGAATGCAGTCAACCACTGCAAGACAGAGAAGTCAAGACATTCTCTGGAGCTCAGAAGGAACACAGGCTTGCTGACACCTTGATTTTAGCCAAGTGAGATTTCTAATCTACACAATTGTAGATAATAAACTTGTGTTGTTTTAAGCCAGTGAATTTGGGGTAATTTGTTACAGTAGCAATAGGAAACTGATGCATATTATACAATACTTGGACATAACCTTGACAAAGCTGTAGTCAAATATCATCAATTTGTGGAGGAAAGATGACAGTATGACATTATTTTAATGCCTACATCAGTTGAACCAGCTATGAGAGTTAAGAACAATTCTTAGAAAAGCATTCCATGTAGTCTGTTTTAAACAAATCCAATGTATGAAAATCATGTTATAAGGTAAATTGGAAAAGTTTACTTACTTTAAATCTTTAATCTGTCACATTTTATGCTTTCTATTTTTAAACTTTATGCCCCTTGAAAAATAATAATTTTTTTAAAAAGTAAGCATAACCCTTAGTTTCTTTCCAAATGCCTTTACGTTTTAAAGCAGTAATTACACCTTGCGGCATTACCCGGTTCAGCCGGCGCCTGGCTGGAGGGCGCCCGAGAGCCCGGAGCAGCGCGCCTGGAGGGCGGAGCAGGAGCGGGAGGAGTAGGAGGAAGTGGTCAGCAGCGCGGCTGGCGCCAGGCAATGGTGCTGCCCTGGTTGCTGCTTGGGACTGCGCCCAGGGCGGTCCTCGGGTCAGTGGAGGCTGCGCTCTGCGGTGAGCTTGGTGGTCCCTGGGAAAAGGGAGAGCGCCTAACCTTGGACTTCAGGCAAGGGTTAACGTTGGTGGGGGAGCCATCAATCTTGGCATCTGGGGATATAACCCCCACTTGCAGTTCTTGTTCCTTCAGATCTCGGGCGCTGGGGAACCTGGGGGCGCTCTGGGGACGCGAGGGCCGAGGTAAACATTGCTTCAGCGAACTCGTGTGAGAGGGCGTTTATATTGGTAATGGTGCTTGACTGAGCAATGAGTAAAGGTCAATTTGCGACTCAGAGTAGCGAGCAAGATGGTCAGTCTCTGCCCGCGAGAGTCGTAATGCCGATCCCAGCCATGAGAGTTACATTTGTGACCCGCTAGAGAGCAGCGCTTAGCGCTTCATGAAACAGCCACCTAGAACTATAACGTGTTAAAGCTGTTAAAAGTACCACCGCTCATTTTACCGCTAAGCCAGCAGAAGCCAGAGAAGTGAAGGTGGTTACCGGAGGCGTTGGGTCTAGAACTAAAAGCAGGCCTCCAGGCCCTTCTTTTCGCTTTGAATGCTGCCTCTCCTCCAGCACCAAATTTATCTGTGATTGCTGCTACAGGGACCCAGCATTAACACAGCTTCCCCGCAGCCCCACCTACTATTCTATTTTAACTGTTGGTAAGTCCTCTGTAGTTTAAATTGTGCTTTTCTATGCAAATTTTTGGTTTTTCTTTTCTCCTTTTTTTCCCCCCTTAAGAAACAGAGTCTGGCTCAGTCTCCCCGGCTGGAATGCAGTGCTGTAATCACAGCTCACTGCAGCTTGGAACTACTTGGCTCAAGCGATCCTCCTACCTCAGCTTGCAAGTAGCCGGGACTACAGGTGGAGGCCATAAGGCCCAGCTGATTTTGTTTTGTTTTGTTTTTGTAGAGATAGGGTTTTAGGTATGTTTCTCAGGCTGGTCTCAAACTCCTGGCCTCAAGTGATCCTCCTGCCTTGGCCTCCCACAGTGTTGGAATTACAGGTGTGAACTACTGCTCCTGGCCGCAAATTGTTTTCTTTCACTTTTATTCAAGAACCATTTGGTGGGTGTGGTGGCTCTTGCCTATAATCCTAGCACTTTGGGAAGCTGAGCTTTTTGAGTTCAGAAGTTCAAGACCAGCCAGGCCAACATGGCAAAACCCCATCTCTACAAAAAAATTAGCTGCGCCTGGTGGCACACAACTGTATTCCCAGCTACTTGGGGGTGAGGCAGAAGGATCACTTGAGCCCAGGAGGTTGAGGCTGCAGTGAGCTGAGATCACATCACTGCACTCTAGCCCAGGTGACAAAGTGAGACCCTGTCTTAAAAAGATAAAAGAATCATTTATTGAGCTCTGGGACTGGTATGGTGGCTCACACCTATAATCTCAGCACTTTGGAGGCCAAGGCAGGAGGACTGTGAGATCCATGGGCAGTGTGTATAAATCACGAAGGAAAGGCATAAATAGATATTGATTGGTTGCACTGTATATGCATTTACCTTACTTAAATCTCATAGGTTTAAATGATAATATTACTATTTTACAAATAAGAAACTAAGTACTAAAAAGTTTAAGTAATTTCTCCAAGGTTATAGAGATAAGTGGGTAAGCCACAATGTGAATCTAGGTTTATCTGACTCTAAAATCCCTCCTCTTTCCATTATAAAACTATTTAGAGCACACATATACTTTTGATGTAGCTGGAGGGTAGAGAAATTGGGGCCTAAGAGGAGGAACTGGGGGAGGAGTGGGTTTGGTAAGGGGTCGTTGAAAGGCATTAAGGAACATACTAAGGTGCTTGGATTCTATCCTGTGATGTAATGCTGCAGTGACTATCCAGGTGAGGCTAGGTTTACTAATGTGGAAACCGAAAAACTGGAGGTTATTCAAAGATTAGGCCGAAAAGGTGAAAATCAGGTGCAGTCTATATTACTCTTGAAAATCCCTCTAGAGAACCACACATTATATTTCAGTAAATCCCAAATAGCCAGTTTTTCTTCAATATAGGAACAGATTAGTGTTTCTTTGAGCACAAGATCAAGTGGAGGACATGCTGTACATAAAAACACACACTATTAGCTTTAAATAATTAATATAGAATAGAGGCTCATGTCTATGAGAGGCTTAGGGGAGCTGAGACTCATCAAGGAAATGGGCTTACTTCAGGCTTTACTCACTGAGTGGAAAAGCAAGAAACCTAGTGTTCACTGGTTATTCTCCCATGCTCCACCTCCCAATAGGACTATAATTGAATTACAGAAAGTTAAATATAAGTTAGATGACTCTACAAGAAAAACATAAGTATCTTTTATCCAGTTAAAGATGTTACTTGCTGTGATTATCTTTCACAGTGGCTAAGAGTCAGAATCTTGAGTTTACATAAATGATAAAATTACCATGGTTTTCCAGTTCCTAACAATGAGAAGCAGTAATGAGCATTAATTCAGCCTGTTGGCCCTTTATATTCTGGGAATTCCCAAAACAGCTAGCTAGATGAGAAATAGTATGATTCCAGGTTAAGATCTAATCTTGTAGACACAATGAATTTCTAGTGTTCAAATCTGAAGGGGATGAGGAAACCTAAATTTTTATTTTTAAATTTTGTTTATTGTGATAAAATTTGTGTATTTGTGATTTTAACTATTTTGAATGTACAATTCAATAGCATTAATTACATTCAGTGTTGTGCAACCATCAGCACTTTTTATTTCAGTACAAAAATTTTCATCACCCCAAACAGAAACTCCCCATTCCTCCTCCCTCCAACTCCTGACAACCTCTAACCTACTTTCTGTCTCTATGAATTTGCCTGTTCTAAACATTTCATATAAATGGAATCATACAATGTTTGTCCTTTTGTTTCTGTCTTATTTCACTCAGTATGTTTTCAAGGTGCATCCATATTGTAGCATGTGTCAGTGCTTCATTCATTTTTATGGCCGACTAATATTCCATTGTATGTATACATCATATTTTATTTATGAATCTGTTGATGAACACTGTGGTTGCTTCTACCTTTTGGTTATTGTGAGTAAATGTTAATATGAGCATTAATGTACAAGTATCTGTTTGAGCCCATTTTCATTTGAGCATATACATAGGAATGGAATAGCTGGAAACCTGTTCGTTTAAAGCTTTATAGGTATTTGTCCATTTTTATGTTATTTTGCTATCCGTGAAAATGACAGATGAAAATAGATAAGTGTGGCTGGTCTGGAGGTAGTGAGTGAGTGATCTCAATTGACTGTCCAGTCACAGATTGAACTTGTTCTACTCTTTTCCCCCTTCACACTACTGCCCTTGACTAGTCTTAAAAAAAAAAAAAAGAAAGAAAATAGATGCGTGTCTGTTTTTTATAAGAAGATATGCTTTTTTTGCAACTTACTTTTGGCTTTTCTTAATGCACTTAATACATAAAACTACTGGAAATTTCTTTTGGCCTATGAGCTCTGCAAGAAATTACCAAGGCATTAAGAGCATTGTAAACCCAGAAAGTTTCGGAACCTTAGGTTTATACACAATGTTCAACAACTAGTTTTTTAAACTCAATATTGTTTTGGATAATTTACATTAAATAATGCATATCCCATTGTGTAAATGTACCACATATAATAATAACAATTGCCTTATTGATGAACTTCCAGGTTATTGTAGTTTTCCAATGTTACAAAGAATGCCACCTGTGAGCCTAATTATACATATATACATCAGTATTAACTCATACTAAGATTCCTGTAGGATAGATTCCTAAAATTGTTAGGTAAAAAGGATATGCATACTTAAAATGTTATTACAGCTAAATTTCCCTTCAAAAGTTTGTAATATTATACGCTACCAATAATGTATGAAAGTACACATTTCCTCATTCCCTCACCAATATTTGATATTATAAATTCTTTCAATTTTTACAAACCTGACAAAATAACAAAATTTTGTTTATATGTTGTATTTCCTTAATTAGTAGTGAGATCGGGCACCTTCTCACATTTTATTGGCTATTTATATTTCTCGTGTCAATTTTGTGTTCATATAGTTTGACCATTTTTCTGAGTTTTTTCCTTTTTCCTAGTTATTTGTATAAACTCTATTTTATTAACACTAATCTTTTTTTTTCTATGTTACAAGTATTTTCTTCCTGCCTGTCACTTGTATTCAAAGTGTTCATTGTTCTTTTTCCATATATCAATTTAGCATTTTTGTGAGATCAAACCTTTAGGATTTCTGATTTTTGTCATGTTTAGAATGGCCTTCCTGTCCTAAGACTTAAATTATCCACTCATGTTTTCTATGAGTACTTTTAAGATATTAGACTTTAGGTTTATATTTGGAATTTATTTAAGCATAAGGAGTGAGGTAACAGCCTGCTTCATGTTTTCTCCTACTTAGTTGGCCTGTTTATTGACTATCATTTCCTTACTAATTTGAAATGTCACTGTTAGCAGATAATGAATTATCATATAAAGTATACTGTAAGTCTCTTTTCTGGACTTAAGACTTTTTTTTTTTTTTTTTTTTTTNCAACAACAATAACAAAAACAAAATACAGTATGACAACTATTTACATAGCATTTACAGTATACTAAGGATTTTAAGTAAGCCAGATGATTTAAAGTGCATAAGTTATATGCAAATACTATGCCATTTTATATAAGAGACTTTAGCATCCACAGACTTTGGTATACAAGGGAGTACTGGAACCAATCCCCTTCAGATATCAAAAGGTGACTATATTTAAGAGATAGAAACAGTGCCAGGCTGGGTACAGTGGCTCATGCCTGTAATCCCAGCACTCTGGGAGGCCAAAGTGGGCGAATCACGAGGTCAAGAGATTGAGACCATCCTGGCCAACATGGTGAAACCTAGTCTCTACTTAAAATACAAAAATTGGCTGATCATGGTGGTGAGCGCCTGTAGTCTCAGCTGCTTGGGAGGCTGAGGCAGAAGAATTGCTTGAACCCAGGAGGCAGAGATTGCAGTGAGCTGAGATTGCGCCACTGCACTCCAGCCTGGAGACAGAGACTTTGTCAAAAAAAAAAGAGAAAAAAAGAAACAGTGCCATTAAGTACTTACAAGTGTAGTATAAAATGTAAGGTCCCTACATGTAATGTATGGCTTAATATCTTTGCTTGCAAGGGGAAATGAAATTAAAATTTTCTTAATATTGTAACTTGGATTAAGATTTACAAATTATTTCTGTAATTCAGTTACCAGATGCTGAATGTATGTTTACAAGTTCCCACCAATTAAGGGGCTTGGAAAGAGTACAATATGAAACTGACACAAGGCCAATATCAAATATTTAGGGTAGCACAGGGTGCATCCTGATGCTTAGAGTCAGGATACATGCATACATAGAAAAACTCCTTTCTCTTTTCTTTTTTCTTTCTTTTTTTTTTTTTTTTTTTGAGTTTTTTTTTTTTTTTGCCCAGGCTGGAGTGCATTGTGCAATCTTGGCTCACTGCAACCTCTGCCTCCTGGGTTCAAGAAATTCTCTTGCCTCAGCTTCCCAAGTAGCTGGGATTACAGATGCCCACCACCACGCCCGACCAATTTTTGTATTTTTAGTAGAGATGGGGTTTCACCATGTTGGCCAGGATGGTCTTGAACTCCTGACCTTGTAATCTGCCTGCCTCAGCCTTCCAAAGTGCTGGGATTACAGGTATAAGCCACCGCGTCCAGCCATTTTCCTTTCTCATAGTAGTCATTTTGTTGTGAAATATGAACATTATTACTTCTTTTGCTATTTCATTTTAAAAATCTTTTGGATATTCTTTTTAAAAAAATAACTTTACACCTGTAGAAAAGTTGCAAAGGTAAGTTTCCTTTATTCTTGTCAACTTCATGTAGTATATAAACATCTTATGTAGTGTAATTATTGAAATCAGGAAATTAATATTGCTATAATACTATTAACTAATCTGCAGACTTTATCTTTCTTGACATGGACACTTTTAAAGAGAGTACTAGTTATTTTGTAGATTTTTTTGTCTGAGGTTTTCTTCTAATTAGATTCAGGAAATTATTTTTTTTTGCAATACTAAGGAAGTGATATTGTGCTCAGGGCCTCATATCAGGAGGCACATATTGTCAACATGTCTTATTACTAGTGAAGTTATCTTTGAATAAATGGTTAAAGTGGTATCTTTCAGGCTTCTCCCTCTGTAATTAGAAAGTATCTCATGGGAAGATATTACTTCATTTGTCATCACACTTTCACCTCTAGATCTATATCTATCAATGGTTCTTACCTAGGATGTTTGCTTAATGATTTTCTGTTCCCATCATTCCTTCTACATTTACCAGTTGGAAAGCCCATATAAGGAAGATAATCCCTTTTCCCCATTTATTTATTCTATTTATTTTATGGGTTATTATCCAATACCATATTATGTTACAATTACAGCTAGCACTCTGCATCTGCGGGTTCAGCATCAAAGGATTCAGTCAACTAGAGAGAAAATATTCGGTAATAAAAACCCAAAATAACAATACAACATCAACAACAATAACAAAAACAAAATACAGTATGACAACTATTTACATAGCATTTACAGTATACTAAGGATTTTAAGTAAGCCAGATGATTTAAAGTACATGGGTTATATGCAAATACTATGCCATTTTATATAAGAGACTTTAGCATCCACAGACTTTGGTATACAAGGGAGTACTGGAACCAATCCCCTTCAGATA